ATATATATATATTATATATATATATATATATATTATATATATATATATATATTATATACGTTTACAATAATTTAATACTAAAGAAACACAATGAAATATATATTTTTTCGTTAGGTTCAGAATGATTTTTGCGAAATTATTGCATACACAAATTTTCGCTTGTCTTATATGGCAAGAAGAGCGTTGCTATTTAAGCCAAGATCGCAAGTTTTACATATCGGCACGACATATATGTAATATAATATATATATATATATATATATATATATATATATATATATATATATATATTATATATATATATATATTATATATATAATTTATATATATATATATTTATATATATTATATATAATATATATATATATATATATATTATATGTATATATATACATATATAACACATACATATATATACACACACATATATATATATATATATATATATATATATATATATATAAAATGAACAGAAAGGTGGACGAGGGCTCCAACCGCGGTCTGTAAATCAGCACACTGATTCTCTACCGTCTGGGCTAACCCAGGCCCCTAATAGCAATGAATCGAAGGTATTACATTCCGGTCTATTCTTACCCCCTGTCCAGGCCACATCGTCTACGAACTCAAATAAGTAGGAATAAACAAGTCATCTTTCTACCACTCCTCCTCTTCCCTCCAGGACCCACCCTATTGTATCCACAAACTTGTCCTGGACACAAAACTACATTTTTAAGTCTACCCCATACCTCTTGAACCTCATTATCTATACTTTCACTAGCCCATCTTTCTACCAATAGTTACATCTTACCATAACTATGTCCACCTTTAGTTTATAAACTTTCACTTCTCTCTTTTACTCTTTCATGCCATTTTCCTGGTATCCCATTTACCTTATACTTGCACTAGAGCTACAACTAAAAATTATCTGATATATATGTGGCTCCTCTATAATTATGCACATCCATGAGTCTACTCATCAACCTTTTTGTCCACCGATACATAATCTAACAAATTACTGTCATTACTTACTTGAAAGTTGGACTTTTCCACAAAAAAAAAATCACACATTAATATACTTTTTCACTGACAATGATATAAAATGCTTTATTTTTGAACCAAACCTAATGCAAAAGCTAGAGGAGCAGGAAGGAATAACAGGAAAGGCACTGCAATGGATCAAGGATTACAAGACAGAAAGGAAACAATAAGTGATGGTACGTGGCGAGGTGTCAGCGTGGGTGCATGTGGCGAGCGGAGTTCCACGAGCGTCAGTCCTATAGGGTCAGTGTTCTTTCTAGTATATATGTTAATGACATGACGGAAGGGATAGATTCAGAGGTGTCCCTCTTTTCAGACGATGTGAAGCTAATGCGAAGAATTCAAGCGGCGGGGATCAAGTAAGACTACAAAGGCTCTGGATAGTTTGTAAACCTAGTCTGACAAATGGGCTCCTGGAGTTACAAGTGCAAAGTTATGAAGATTGGACCGCAGACGAAGTGCATGCTGTAAGGTCAAAAGCCGCAAACCTCACTCAAGGAAAAGGATTTTGGGGGTGTATGACATACGAACACATCTCCCGAGAAGCACATCAACCAAATAACTGCTGCAGCATATGGCTCCTGGCAAACCTAAGAATAAGCGTTTCGACAAGTAAATGAGGAGTCATTCAAGACAGTCTACACCATGCAGGTCAGGCACATATGGAAGTATGCAGCACTAGTATGGAACCCACACATGGTTAAGCACGTCAAGATATTAGAGAAAGTGCAAAGGTTTGCACCAAGACTAATCCCGAAATTATAAGGGGTATGTCCTACGAGGAGAGGTTAATAGATATCAACTTGACGACACTGGAGGACAATAGGAATACGGAGGACATGATAACGACATATAAAATTCTGAGAGGAACTGATAAATTGGATGGGGATAGAATGTTTCAGAGATGAGACACGGCGACAATGGGTTACAATTGAAAGCTGAAAACACAAATGAGTCATAGGGATGTTAGGAAGTATTTTTTTCAATCATAGAACAATCGGGAACAATCTGAAGAGTGATGTAGTGATGGCAGGATCTATACATAGCTTTAAGAAGAGGTACGAGAAAGCTCATGTAGCAGAGAGTGAACCTAGTAGCGATCACCAAAGAGGCGGGACGAGAAGCTGCGAATCGACCCCTGCAAACACATATAGGTAATTACATACATACACTCATTTGACAGTACTAAATTATTCAGAGAATAATTGCATTATAGTATGAGAGGATTATCAGTCTACAGAGGTTAATCATGTGTCGCTGTGAACAGCATTCTCAAACAACAATATCTACGACGTCCATAACAAACTACAATAAATACAAGCTAATCATACATTTCCAACAAGATCCAAAATGGTGTCACCATTGTTGACAATTTCAACAAAATATCGTTCTGGATATTGTTTCACCGATTTTTAACATGGGGAGGTGGGACTGTGCTCGCTGTTGGGTATATATACATATATATTTTATATATATATATATATATATATATATATATATATATATATATATATATATAATTTATCAATCTCCGTTTTAGTGTATGTATACGAACGTCACACATTAGTACAAGTCCTCCTGCATCAGATGATTGTACAAACAAGTGTGTTCGTTCATATTTATCCTGAAATATTAGAGAAATTTATATTTTTCCTGACAGAATTGGTATTATATATGAAATATGACAAATTCAAAACATGGTTTAACAAAATAAAATTAAAGTAAAAACAGTAGCATTATAGTCTATAAAGAATAACTAACAAAGAGTAATATCTAGATTCACTGACAACAGGGGGATCAAGAGCTATACTTCGTCAGAGTCTGTCAGCAGGGGATAATTCTCTGAAAAAAATTTGCACAGAGCTTCAGCTACTAATACCATGCTAGCATTAGAAAGTTTAAAGTGAGTGATATGTTGGAAGATATCATTAATGGAGCAGCTTGTTACAGTCTTAGACCTAATTTGTGTTTTGGCTTTTGTCGCACTCCACACTCCCGACAACTCTTGAAGTTATTAATCTATGTTATATATATATATATATTATATTTTAATATATATATATATATATATATATATATATATATATATATATATATATATATATATATGTCGTGCCGAATAGGCAGAACTTGCGATCTTGGCTTAAATAGCAACGCTTATCTTGCCATGTAGGACAAGTGAAAATTTTTTTATGCAATAATTTCGCCAAAATCATTCTGAACCTAACGAAAAAAATATATTTCACTGTGTTTGTTTAGTATTAAATTACTGTAAACAAATGTTAAATATATTTAGTTGGGTTAGGCTAAAATAAATTGCTCTTGTTATAATAAGGTTAGGCAAGTTTTCTAAGTTCCTTTTCGTGCAAAATTATTAATTTTTACATCAACATTAATGAAAAAAATATATCTTTAAACGTACAAGAGAAATTTTTAGAAAGGACTTAATTTTAAATGAGTTCTTGCTAATTGACCAGTTTTACATATTCGGCACGACATATATATATACAACAAAGATTGGATATCAGATTGGAGGGGGAGAGTATGGAGGAGGCGAATGTATTCAGATATTTGGGAGTGGCAGTGTCAGCAGATGGGTCCATGAAAGATGAGGTGAATCATAGAACTGATGAGGGGAAAAAGGTGAGCGGTGCACTTAGGGGTGGAGACAAAGAACTTTGTCCATGGAAGCAAAGAGGGGAATGTTTGAGAGTATAGTTATACCAACGCTCTTATATGGGTGTGAAACATGGGTGGTGAATGTTGCAACAAGGAGAAGGCTGGAGGCAGTGGAGATGTCATGTTTGAGGGCAATGTATGTTGTGAATGTAATGCAGAGAATTCGTAGTTTGGAAATTAGGAGGAGGCGCGGGATTACTAAAATTATTATCCAGAGTGCTGAGGAGGAGTTGTCGAGGTGGTTCGGACATGTAGAGAGAATCGAACAAAACAGAATGACTTCGAGAGTGTATAAATCTGTAGTGGAGGGATGGCGGAGTAGAGGTCGTCCTAGGAAAGGTTGGAGGGAGGGCGTAAAGGTTTTGTGTGCGAGGGGCTTGGACTTTCAGCAAGCATGCGTGAGCGTATTTGATAGGAGTGAATCGAGACCAATGGTTTTTAATACTTGACGTGTTGTTGGAGTGTGAGCAAAGTAATATTTATGAATTTACTCAGGGAAACCGGCAGGTCGGACTTGAGTCCTGTAGATCGGAAGTAGTGTCTGCACTCTAAAGGAGGGGTGTTAATGTTTTATAACTGCAGTGTAAAGCACCCCTCTGGCAAGACAGTGATGGAGTGAACGATGAAAGTTTTTCTTTTTCGGGCCACCCTGCCTTGGTGGGAATCAGCCGATGAGTTAATAATAATAATTAATAATAATTAATAATAATTATTATTATATATATATATATATATATATATATATATATATATATATATGTGTGTGTGTGTGTGTGTGTGTGTGTGTGTGTGTGTGTGTGTGTGTGTGTGTGTGTGTGTGTGCGTGCGCGCTTACCTATTTATACTTATCTGTATGTGGTTGCAAGGGTCGAATTTCAGCTCCAGGCCCTGCCTTCTCGCTGGTTACTTCTAGGTTCATTTTCTCCTGGCTTCGAGAGCTGTATCGCTCCTCTCATTAAAGCTGTGTATGGATTATGACTCTACTATTTTATTCTCCAGGTCTTTCCACTTCCTGACTAATCTAAGGTTAAAGAAATGCTTCTTAATATCCATGCGAATCATTTTTGTCTTCTGCTTCCGGCTGTGCCCTCGTGTTCCTGTTTCCCGACTCTCAAATAATCTGCCCCCTGTCTACCCTATGTGTGCGTATGTATTATGAATTTTGTTCATTTTTTTTCAGATCGCGCCTTTCCCTTCCCCACACGAGTGTGTAGTTGTGAACTGTCAAACTGATGGAATAACATTTTCAGATGACAGATGGAACAAATAGCTTTGAAACTTACCATCCGGAAGACCGGTGCTGATGATCTGTTCGGCTGACACCACTCTAGATGCTGTCAAGACTGTTCGGAGCTGAGGAAATTGTTCCTGTCAGTCTATGTAGATGGTGCCGTTGCTGTGTCACACTCAGCGTGTTGCGTTGAACTCGCCTACACTCGCATATTTGTGGTTACAGAGGCCGAGTCTCCTGGCCCTACCTCTTAATTGATCAGTGGAAAAACCTGTAATACAAGTTGTCTGTAGTACAAGCAGCTAACCAGTCGAATTAATACATAAAAGAGTTTGCAGTGCATTTGTATTTAGTTTAACTGGCCGTTATTGGGTTCATTCGCCCTCTGTCTTAGCTTTGCGAGTCCTATCCAAGCCATTCTTTAATCTAGTATAGATCCTGCCTCTGCCACATCGTTGTCCAGGTCATTTCACTCTTTGACCTGAAGCTGAAGAAATGCTTCCTGGCATCCCTGTAACCTCTCTCTTTTTAACTTCCAATTATTCCGTTGTGTACCTCTTCCCCGTCTCTCGAGCATCCTGTCCCTGTCCACCCTTTCAATACCTCTGTATATTTTGTGTGTCAGAATTATATCTGTCCTCTGATATCATCAGGCTTTAGTTTCTCCTCACAGCTCAAACCCTCTTTCTCGGGGACTAGTCTTGTGACAAACGTCTTTACTGTGTCCTACTTATTGTGTCAGACTCACTTTTCACACTGTGTCACACTGTATTATTAGTCTGTGTCCCAGTTTCACTCTCAGCGTCATCACACCACCTCACATTGCCATTATAATGCATCACACTGACATCATAATTTACCACATTGTGTTATACTAAGTTATACTGTAATATAGTGGCACATTATGTCACACCCATTGTCACTGTGTCAGACTCGTTTCCATGTATTAGCACGACGCCTCACCCTTGCGTGTGTTAGCACGACGCCTCACCCTTGCGTGTGTTAGCATGACGCCTCACCCTTGAATGTATTAGCACGATGCCTCACCCTTGCGTGTGTTAGCATGACGCCTCACCCTTGAATGTATTAGCACGATGCCTCACCCTTGCGTGTGTCAGCACGACGCTTCACCCTTGAATGTATTAGCACGATGCCTCACCCTTGCGTGTGTCAGCACGATGCCTCACCCTTGCGTGTATTAGCATAACGCCTCACCCTTGAATGTATTAGCATGATGCCTCACCCTTGAATGTATTAGCATGATGCCTCACAATTGCGTGTGTTAGCGTGACGCCTCACCCTTGAATGTATTAGCATGATGCCTCACCCTTGAATGTATAAGCATGACGCCTCACCCTTGAATGTATTAGCATGATGCCTCACCCTTGAATGTATTAGCATGATGCCTCACCCTTGAATGTATTAGCATGATGCCTCACCCTTGAATGTATTAGCATGATGCCTCACCCTTGAATGTATTAGCATGACGCCTCACCCTTGAATGTATTAGCATGATGCCTCACCCTTGAATGCATTAGCACCACGCCTCACCCTTGCATGTGTTAGCATGACGTCTCACCCTTGAATGTATTAGCATGATGCATCACCCTTGAATGTATTAGCATGACGCCTCACCCTTGAATGTATTAGCATGACGCCTCACCAGTGCATGTATTAGCACGACGCCTCACCCTTGCATGTATTAGCAAGACGCCTCACCCTTGCATGTATTAGCACGACGCCTCACCCTTGAATGTATTAGCATGACGCCTCACCCTTGCATGTGTTAGCATGACGCCTCACCCTTGAATGTATTAGCATGATGCCTCACCCTTGAATGCATTAGGATGACGAGTCACCCTTGCATATGTTAGCACGACGCCTCACCCTTGCATGTATTAGCAAGACGCCTCACCCTTGCATATATTAGCACGACGCCTCACCCTTGCATGTATTAGCATGACGCCTCACCCTTGAATGTATTAGCATGACACCTCACCCTTGAATGTATTAGCATGACGCCTCACCCTTGAATGTATTAGCACGACGCCTCACCCTTGCATGTGTTAGCATGACGCCTCACCCTTGAATGTATTAGCATGACGCCTCACCCTTGAATTTATTAGCATGACGCCTCACCCTTGAATGTATTAGCATGACGTCTCACCCTTGAATGTATTAGCATGACGTCTCACCCTTGAATGTATTAGCACGACGTGTCGTAGCCACAAGCCCACTAGCCAAGCGTCTTACATACGACTCATTGAGTGCTATTAATATCTGCATAACAATAGCACATTAGGGACATCCTCGGTCATACTAATGAACCATTTTCCTGCACAATTACTCTTGAAATTGGCACTCACTTAAGACATTAGTCGGGATTTATTGAAGTGAATCATGATACTGGTGGAGGTAAAGATAGGAAAGACGTCGAGTTGAGGAGTGGTGAGTTGTGTCCCTGAGTGGTGTGTTGTGTGGTTGAGTATGAGTTGTGTGGCTCAATGGTGAGCTGTGTGGGTAGCGTTGCTAAGTGGTGTGTTGTGTGAATGAGTGGTGAGTTGTGTTCCTGAGTGGTAAGTTGTGTGGCTGAATTGTGAGTTGTGTGGTTGAGTGGCGTGTTATTATATGATTCAGTGGCACATTATGTGGGAAAATAGTGTGTTGTGAAGGTGAATTTTGTGTTGTGTGGGTGAGTGGTGTGTTGTGAGGGTAATATTTGGTTTGACCACCCCTAGCACCCATAAGTGCTTTTACACGTGTGGGAACGACAACCATCAAAGTTTTGCATAATTCCTTGATTCTGACAGATTGAAACCAAACCTTAATAAGGCGGCATTCTATGAGCTGCATTTTGGTCGTAATGGGGTAGCATCTCAACGTCATTTTGTGCACACCACATCTCTAACTGATTAAACCATACCACGGGCGGGATTTGAACCCGCGGTCAGAGTCTCTCAAAACTCCAGACCGTCGCGTTAGCCACTGGACTCTCTGACCGCGGGTTCAAATCCCGCCCGTGGTATGGTTTGTTTGTAATCGTGTCATTACGATTTCGTGAGTCACTCGGACTGATTCTGCCGTGTGACATGGGGCTGAATCTTGTTGGAATATTCAACGTCCATTACTATACCAATCCCTTATCTGAGGCAGTAACTGGCGTTGTAGTACTTCTGTATACTTAACCTAGTTGATGGTACCCTCAACAATGTTCCATGAACAGAAATGGCTCTCCACACCATGATTTTCAGAGGAAATTTAACCGTCTTCTTCAGACATTCAGGCATAAATTCCTCACCTGACCGCCTTACAGTCAGCACACGGTCATCCAGCACTGTAATGGTTGATATATCAGAGAACATCTTCTACAACAATGGAAAAAGGCAATAGAAGCTGAATGATAATCTTAATTTTTTTCAAATTGAACTGTCATTTTATTAATAATTAATTTTCCTTTGTGAACAACAAATGAACTGAATGGCTAAGTGTAATTCTTACCTGCTCTCTTGTGGTGGGTTCAGTAAGTCGCGGCTTTTTTCTGGGACGATATGCTTTCAGTCCCTCTCCAAAAGCCTCTCATTAACTGTCCTTCGGGCAAAGTTGTTGTTGCCGCCGCCGCCGCAACCACCGCCACCACCACCGCCACCATCGCAACCACCTCCGCCACCACCACCTCCGCCAACGTCACCACCACCACCTCCGTCGCCACCACTACCTCTTCCGCCGCCGCCGCCGCCGCCGCCACCTCCTCCTCCTCTGCCTGTAAGATGCTCTTCTATTGTTAAGAGCCATTTGCATTATTTTTTCTGTTTAATCTCAGTGTTGTTGTTTTCTGTTGTCTGCCACATCCTCCTACCCTTTTTTAATTTAAATCTTGATGGTAACTTAATTTCTTCTTAATTTTACTCACTGGCTAAATTTCAGTGTAATATCACTTAATAAAATGTTTATCTGTCCCACTTTGCAAGAACTAACATCGCTATTTTTACCCAGTTCTGCTGACTTACTTTTTAACTATTAAACTGGAAGGAAAAACAAAAGACACTTTTAGTAGCAAACAAAAGGCACTTTTAGTAGCAAACAAAAGGCACTTTTAGTAGCAAACAAAAGGCACTTTTAGTAGCAAACAAAAGGCACTTTTAGTTGCAAACAAAAGGACTTTTAGTACAAAAAAAAGGCATTTTTAGTAGCAAACAAAAGGCATTTATTTTGAAACAAAAGGCACTTTTAGTTGCAAACAAAAGGCACTTTTAGTTGCAAACAAAAGGCACTTTTAGTAGCAAACAAAAGGCACTTTTAGTTGCAAACAAAAGGCACTTTTAGTTGCAAAAAAAAAAGGACTTTTAGTAGCAAAAAAGCCCTTTTTATTGCAAACAAAAGAACTTTTTGTTCAAACAAAAGCACTTTTAGTTGAAAAAAAAAGGATTTTAGTTGCAAACAAAAACACTTTTAGTTGCAAAAAAAGACACTTTTAGTTGAAAACGTGGCACAGCAAATACAACTAATAGATTATCCAGCAATAAGCCCCAAAAAACCCACCATTGCTCGCCACCCCAGGAAAAGAAATTAGAAAAATTTTGATGGGGGCATGATTATTATGGGGGCGCAAAACCCCTAGGATTAACCACCTTGGGGGGGGAGGAAGGTTTCGGCTCAATTCAAGGAACGGGAGCACAGATCCAATTCCCTAAAAAAGCCCCCCCAAAAAGCCCCAAAGGACCTCCCCCGATGGAGGCTGGCATGATGCCCCCAAAGTGTTAAAGCAATTTGGTGTAAGGAGGTACACCAATTTAACAAAGTTAACGGTACTGGTGTATCAAAAAAAAAATCTATTTGCAGTCAAGAAATTGGCGAATTGACCTTTAATAGAAATTACCGAATTTTTAATAATGCCGTACGCACTACATTAAAATGCAATAAAACCACATAAAAAGGGGAACCCCATATGAAGAAAAAAACCCCCTGGAATAAATATTGAAATTTCCCAAACGCTTTCGCGATTCTCACATTTTCAATAGTTTCCCTTTTAAAAGTGAAGAAAAGTCACGAAAACGTTGGAGTTTCATATTTTTTTCACAGTGGTTTTTCTGCAAAATATTATATTATATTATATATATATTAAATATATATATATATAATATATAAAATTTAAATTTATTTTTTTTATTAACACATGGCCCATTCCCACCAAGGCAGGGTGGCCCGAAAAAGAAAAACTTTCACCTCATTCCTCCCACTGTCTTGAAGAAAGGGGCTTTACACTACAGTTTT